AGCCACACTGAAACACAACATTAACACAGTATCGCCCTTTAAGTTGATATGTTGCTACAGAGAGACGTGAAGTTCATGTGAAGTCGTGTTTGTGTCACCCGATGAAGGTGAGTCCAGTATTCTCTCTGTTAGCTCTGTGTTTGGTCTCCACCAGCTCCCGAGGGAAATATCTGGCTCTTTAGCTGCTAAATGTTCCACTATGTTCACCAGCTGGTCTCTCTCTCTCAACTGTGTCTGTCTGCCATATAGTGCTGAGCAGGCAGTGTACTGTGAGTTTATGTAACATTATTGTTTGGTACATCCTTATGGACAAAGTGCTTTACAATTTGCCTGTCATTAACCCATTCACACACACTCACATTTAAAAATAATAATAAAAACTACATTAAAACTTAATTTGTACAGCACATTTGTTAAGAAAATTATAAAGTGCTGTACAGAAAAGGGCCAGTCAGTAGTAATTCATGCTGTGCAGCCAAACTTTGTAACTGTACTGTACTTAAAATTTTAGTGAACATCCCAAATATTTCGGTATGTAAATAAAATGACATCTAGAATATTTCTATTTGATGGAATAGTCTTTGGTTTCAATATTTCATTCAGTGTAAACATCATATATCTTCCGTGAAGAGCCACCAACCCTGCAACTGAGGGACGACTTCTCTACCTGCTGACCCACAGCCAGCCCCAAACAATAAGCCCAAAGACATTAAAAGGCTTTGTAGAGCAGAGGGGACCTTTACATGAACTTTGAATACCTTCTACCTTTGTGGGAGTTTGACGGTATATGTCAAACTGGAGGGCGCCAAAATAAAGAATTTCTCAATCTATAAATGATTTAGTTATCGGAGCCTTCATATCAGCAAGAGAACATTACAAACAGTAAGAGTCTCTGTTGGAAATCCTGCAAGACAGAAAAGAGCCTGAAAAGAAATTAAAGAACTGCGCAGTGATGAGAAATACAAATACATAAACAGGAAGGAGTTACTGTTGGAGCCAACTAAAACATGAGCAAAGACAACAACAAAGCAAAAGTTCATGACTGAGTTTTTTAAGTTGGTGCCGGAGGAAACCAGTTATCCCAGTACAGCTTCCACCACTTCAGGGTAGGATATGAAGCCAAGAAGCACAGAGTCCCATCAGGAATGTTGGAGCAAACATTTAGATCCTATTCTTAAGTAAAAGTACTAATACAGCTTGGTGAAAATACTCAACATGTTCTCATCCCAGGGAGTCACGCTTTGAGAAAGCCTGACAAAGAGTCGGTATTTTAAGCACAATGTACCCTTCAGTGTCCATGTTAAACACCGTTTTAAGATGGGGTATATATACAGTTTATAGGAACCAAAAAATACTTGATTAGGTTTAGTAAACATTGTGTTTTGGGTTGAAATCAGTACACTACTTGATGGCGAACTGGTTACAGTGGTGTTAGGCCATTTGAAAGCCCAGGGAGGCTCATACGGATGCTGAAGGGTATCTTGTGTATCAAATATCACGTCTTTTCAGCTTTCTCAAAGCGTCTGTATTTGATGCTGGGATGAGACCAGGCTGAAATAAGGTCAAGGTCAATGCAAAGTTATAACTAAAAGACCTGCATTGAAAATTTACTTCAGTAAAAGTATATTCAAGAAAATGTACTTGAAGGATCACGTTAGAGCACATCATTCCTTACACTTTTGCTGTTGTTGTTACATTGTTGTGTTTTTGGAACGATTAAAGGACTGAGAATTATTGTTTGCTTACAGAACATCTCTTTTAAACTGTATGTACAACACAATCCAAACACTGACAGCCAATCAGTGTTTGGGGTAGGGGTTTCTTTAACAGTCACCTGTTAGGCAACTGGTCCTCTTTATATATATATTTATAGAATTTACTGAAATTCTCTGAGTGAAACTTAATTTCCCACAGTCCTACACATATGTCATCATGCATTCAGAGGCCACCTGGGAGAGGTGCACAGGTGAACTCTGGTCATGCATGCAGTGCTGAACTACTGCACACACACACACACACACACTTATTGTAAATCCCTGTCAAAGAACAGCTGATAGGGGCCTGAGTGTGTGTGTTTCCTTAATAGAAAGTGCTTTAATGGCAGAGCAGCCTCTTAAAGCAATTATTCTTGGAAAGCGTGTATGTTTGCAGAACTCAAATCGTGGACTTGCGGTAATCCCTTCATTTCCCTCTCAACAACATGTGGCACACAGTTTGTTTACTTAGTGTCTTTGACCAGGATACCAAAACAACACAGGGAGAGAGGGACGCTTACTATGTTCTGCTTTAACTTGCCTCCTCTCATCAGATGTAACCGTTGTCTGTTTTTGTTGTCCTGAATATGCAGATAAGTTGCCCCAGCGTCAAAAGGGATAAAGACTGACAAGGAGAATTCAATAAGTGAAGTCTTTTACAATCAAGCTCGAGGCACATCTCAGAACAAGAGAACTCAATCTTTGTTACTAGGTTCACATCATATTTTATGTGCAGAGCCAAACCAAAACCACCCAGAGCAAGAGATACACTATATGCACAAAAGTACTGGGACACGTCTGTCCTTAAACTTTTGAGAGGGGCGGTGGTCAAGGTGTGGTTTTTGTCAAGGGAAATATTAATGCAACAACATACCAATTAAGACAGTTTGTGTTTGGCCTTTTCCTGTATGAACATGACAATACCCTCGTGCACTGAGCCAGATCCATAAAGAAATTATTTCCCTAGTTTGGTGTGGAGGAACTTGACTGGCCCGCTCAGAGCCCTGACCTCAACCCTATCCAGCACCTTTGGGATGAATTAGAACAGATTGCGAGCCAGGTCCTCTCGTCCAACATCGGTGTCTGACCTCACAAATGCTCGTCTGAATGAACGGGAAAAAAATCCCACAGACAATCTCCAACATCTTGTAGTAAGCCTTCCCAGACGAGTTGGATCTGTTACAGCTGCAATGGGGGACCAACTATAGTGCGTCTTCTTCCTCTGCATCATAGAGTTCCATCATAGTCCAAAAAACTGGGTGACATGTTTCTTTATTACCATGAACTGTTTTCTTTAAAATACTTCTACTTAAGTGTTTCCATTTTATGCTGCTTTATACTTTTACTCTATTAGCGTTCACAGAGAAATATTCATTTTTATGTTTTGTGTGTAAAAAATCTTAATCTGCAAATTATTTAAAGCTGTCAAAGAAATGTAGTGGAGTAAAAAGAACAATATCTCCCTCTGAGGTGTGGTGGAGTGAAAAAATAAAATGGACATACTCAAATAAAACACCAGTACCTTTAATTTGTATTTAAGTATTTGTACTTAGTTACACTCCACCACTGGAATTCACACAATGAACATTTGTTATTTACCACTGAAAACTGGCTTGTGTTTAAACGTGTAAGTGATTAAGCAAATAACAGAGAATGGTAAAAATAAATTCATCATCTTTGGCTAATTATTTGGAGGAAATTCAAATGTATTCAGAAGTGGCTTGTTAATAATGAATTCACCTCTTAAATCTTGATGACATATTACTCTCCACGTTCATTTTTAAAGATATTGGATTTTATTGCCTGCCTATGACTTGAAGTTATTATTTTATATTACTGTCTTTTGTCCTTTTATTTTTTTACTATTACTTTTAACCTTTGTCCTTCCTCTTCCTGAGCACCATCGTCACCCAGGACCTCAGCTGAACAGCAGCTCCGTCACCAAGAAAGCTCAGAAGATGAGGAAGTTCAACATGCCACAGACAATATGATGGTTCTATCCCTCCATCATTTACTTAATCCTCACCTCCTCCTTCACCATCTGGTGATGCTGCCACTGCCAAGGACAAGGGCAGACTACAGCTTATCATTCACTCTGCAGAGAAGGTGAAGGCTGTGTTACGGCTGTATGTGTTTCCCTGTGCTGTGTCCATGTTCTCTTCTGTCCTCTAGTTCTGCTCCCGGAGTGCTCCAGCTGATTACTGAACGAAGTCCACATTGCCTTGGAAGGCGGTCTTTAAAAGCTCTTGTGCATGTGTCAGAAGAGATGCTTTTTTGATTTGGGACTGCTGGTCTTGCCGCCTCTCAGCTGGGACATTTTGTGTTATGTTCTTGTGTTTTTGGTGTTCTTAATTTATTGTCTTGTTATGTTAATAAATTCCACTGATTTAAGAGCTGCAACTAGCATCCCTCCAGGCAGAGGTTTAGGACTTGAGGGATAAAGGGCCGTAATAGCCGTGGATGCAGGGAGGGGCCCATAGAGAATACCTATGTACAGGGTCCAGAATTTTGTGCGACTCCTCTGGCTCCAGGACCTGTACACCAACAGGACTCTTAGGTGAGGAGGAAAGGTTGTGGCTGACCCCTCCGATCCCGGACACAAAAAGGATATAATATACAGCATACAATGATTTAAATATCAACATATAATGCTGTAAATAAAAAGTTCAAAAGAAGCTTAAGCAGCCGACTTCAACAATATAAGGTCCCGCTTCTCGACTTGAACTGCCGGGGCCGAGCTGCTGCGCAGTCGTGCATTCATGTCAAAGATGGTGTGTTCTGGTAACGCAGTGATGCAGAGTTAATTGGATTAATAACTATATTATTATTACTGTATTTGAAAATAATCCCTTACACTACTAGTTACTGGGAAAAGTAACATCTCGCCACAAGGACAGTACATCCCTGCACAAACTGTAATTTAGCAAAAACTGTACATATTATTTAATATATAGGATAAATATAAATAAGAACCTTTTATTGTATTTATAATAATAAATAAAATATATAATAATAATAAATATTTATTATTGTCAGTATTGTATTTATTATTCTTGGCCTGCAGCACTTGCTTTATCTTTTCAATTATTTTCTACCAACTATGTTTATTGTTTTGCACCAAAATACCAAAGCAGATTCATTGTATATTGTCGCCATGTTACATGTACAATAAAGAGATGAGAGGTGCACAACTTTTAACAATAACAAGTATCGATACTGATATCGATTGGCCCTCTCACTGCTTCATATCGGATCACTTTCTGCGCGCCTGTTCAGGGGTGACGCTTGATGATGACGTAGCAGCCGACTTCCACGGTGCAGCTCTTCTGAGTTCTTAAAACCAAAGAAAACATTTAATCAACAAAACACACCGTCGGACGAACAGGGTGAAGCTGTAGGTGAGGAGCAAACTAACATGTTGTTGTTGTTGTTGTTGTGAGCTCTTCTTCTTCGCTTGTCTCACCGCGTGTTGAAGCTTCCGCCTCTGTGTTTATAAACAAAGCTAAGCTAAGCTAAGCTAAGCTAACTCCTCAGCCTGTCTGCGTTAGTTATTGGACGAGAGGGATTTTTTTGCTGTTGCTGTTGTCATTTGAGGTTTTAGCTGGACACTCCTGTGCGGAAAGAGAGTCACACCAAACCCCATTAAACATCTGGAAATGTAATGGTGGGGAGATGAGGATTGGATTTAGCCAAATACTGTTTCCAAAATCACCAGAAGAGAGAAATACAGTTTCCATGGTCCCGCCCCCGCGAACTCCAAAAATAAAAGTGTTTAGATGTGAAAGAATTAGTCATTTAATCTGTTGAGCAACAGAAAACTGTTTCTGGTTACAGCTTCTTCAATATACAACACAAAGCACTGCAACTAAAGTTATTTTCAATATGTATTATTCTGCAGATTATTAGCCCGCAGTGATCTTTTCATATTGCATATTTTATTCAACCAACAGCCTTTAGATGTAAAAAAAAATATATATATATAAAATTTACTGTCACATGAGAACGCAAACTCCGAAAAGAAAGTCTCTAAATGTGTTTTGATGTGAAATAATTAGTCAATTAATCTGTCTTGCAACTTCTTTAATGTGCTTACTCTGTTCCATAATATAAAGCAGCAAAGTTATTGTCGATATTGATTATTCTGCAGATTATTAGCCAACAGTGATCTGACCAAAATGCCTATTTTATTCAACCAACAGCCTTTAAATATAATTTTTGTTGAATGTAGTGCCACGTGAGACGAAGAGAAGCAGCAAATCATCACAATTTATGAGCTAGGACTGGGCAATGTTTGGCTTTTTTGTCTTAAAAATTATTACTTAAGCTCTTAGTTGTCAGTTGCCCCCCCCATCACTTTTTGAAATGGCAGATTTTTTCCTCATCACTTTTTGGACGCTTGAGTTAAAAATGTTCTGAAAAATAGCTTTCAACAAGAAATGAAAATGTTTTGAGAAAGGTTTATTTGCAGAGTAAGAAAACATGCAATGCAATTTAAATATAGTAGAAACAAATGTGCATTGCCCCAAAAAGTAAATTAAGCTAAAAAAACAAACTGCTGATTACTGCATTATTTTATTCCATTAGGGTTTTTCTTTTTTTTTGAATTGTCACCTGCCACCTGAATTTTGATTCCCTTCATATAAATAAAGACATTTCCACCATAAATTGGTGCAGAAAATGTCTCCAGAATGCAGGAAATTTAAGTGTTTAATGCTCAAAATCTTCAGTCATACAAATCAGAATATTTCTTCAAAATAATGTTAAAGCACAAAGATAATGCTCGAGCAATTAATCAATTCTCAAAATAGTTACTTTGACTTAATGTAAACTGAATATGTTGAGTTTTGGACCATTGATCTGACAAAACACGACCTTCAGCTCTGAAAAATTTAGATGGACATTTTTCACTTTTTTCTGACATTTTATAGACCGATTGTTTAAACCTTCCAGCCAGTTGAAAAACAAGTGTGTTAAGGTGTTATATTTATATGCAAATTTAATCTAAAGGTCTATATGTTGTTTCCTCTCTGCACGTGATGTTGAATATATTCTTCCCTTCCTGGTCTTAAAGTATTGTCCAATTTAAACAAACAGACTTTACCAAGACTAACAGTTGTAGTGCTGTGTGAATGTACAGTGAGGATTTCTATACCCTGTATATGATATGAGCCATGAGAGATTGTTATGTATTTTGACTCCCAACAATTTGAGTCTTTAATTTGAACAGGTGTTGAGTACCGTGGCTTCTGCCCTGGTGAAGCAGGTGTTAAAAGGATGTTGTTAAAGACGAGGCTGCTGTTGTGCTCTGCTGAAACGTGTCTGGCTGTGTGAGGAAGCGCTCTGCCGTGGTTGGTCGTTAGCATATCTAGCTAACTGCGGTGTGAGTTTCTCTGTTTCACTCTGCTGAGCCTGTACTTACACCTAATAAGAGGTTGTATTAGTGTGTTACAGTGCTGACGGAGCTGTGATGACATGCTCATAGTTAAGAAATAAATATATAATTGACAAATATAGTTCACACAAGTTGCCAATTATAAATATGTAGCATGTGTTGGCTGTCAGAATTACACCTCCCGGCAACAGGAAGTGACGAACGAAGCAGCCCCCCGCGGCACGTTTCACCTACAGAACATGTATGAAATGTTTGTGGCACTTTTATCTTGTCCGCAATTACAAGAAAAGCCTCTTGAAGTGATTCCCTAAACCCAACAGGAAGTCGGATATTTTTGATCATATAGCAGTTTTTGCCGATTTAAGGGCTCCACACTTTAACGATCTCCTAGACATTAAGTCAGATCTATTTAATTTTTTTGCAGTGCAATGAAAAGACATTGGAGATGATGAACGTTGTACAAATGGTGCATTTTCACTGAAGGGTGTGTCCTCATTGTGGCGTCAAAAATCAATGATTCGCCATGAAATAGGAAGTTTTTGTAACTTCACTGTACATGTTCGATAACAGTACAGTGAAGTACCGACCTGAACACATGCAAATATAAAAAAAATAGCAATAAGCTATAAAACCAGATAACACAAAGTGCATATGATTTGTTTTCCCAGTAGCATTGTCTCACCTGACGATGATGGGATGAACCATGAGACAATATAAAAGTGTCAGCCGTCAGAGATGCTGTCCAGGGGCTGTTGAACACTCACCTTACTGCTCGTTGTGCCCTCGGTTACTGTTGCAGATCTCTGTCAAGCTTCTGAAACTAAAATCAGAAAACAAAAGCAGCTTGTCATTTCTGATCAACTACGGTAGCTATCTGGCTAATTGAGCTGAATTGTAGCATTTTTGCAGCTGGCTCGATTGAAAACAAGAACCATAGAAAGGGCGGTCCTGCTGTTATTTTTCTTTCAAGTATTTTCAAAATGGTATAAAGAAAAGACTTTGCTCTACTATTACAATACTAGTATAGTGAGAAACGATGTAATATCAGGCCGTTATTTATCTCTATTTAAGTATTTTCAAACAGTATGTTTAATTTTTACCAGAGAAAAGCTTTGAGGACAAAGGCTAACAAAATAGTTTGAAAAAGTCATAAACTTCCACCAATTCAGTAGACAGCAGGACAGGGCTGCTAATGTTAGCCTAAACTCTTATGCTGCACACCATCCAGCAGTCCTCTTAGCAGCTCTGAAACGGCTAACAAACAGGCAGGCCTTGTGTTTATTCTCTTGTTGGGGGGTTCGACGTTTCTCCTGGCCAAGCCTTATGCGGTCTCTGATGGTTTACAGATCCATTTTCCCTTCGGACCATCAACGTGTCTTTCATTCTCTCTGTAAAACAATAGCTCGCCCCCTGCAAAACACTGCTGCGCAGATAAATTCACAGCATGTCAAAGTAGCTGCTGCACGAGTGTTTTTTTCTTCTGTAAGTGGCTGTTTAGCAGGATGGTCGCAGATACGGCGAGGGCGGGAGGTAAAGTGCTGGCTGCGACGTAGGCCAGGAATATTATGCAAGCACAGCTGTGGGAGTTATGACCGATCTCCACCAGGTCTGTCATCTCACACTGCCAGTCAGAAGGTTTCACACAGACCTGTGTTTTAGTGTTTCACTGTTTTGGTCACATCTGCTCATTACAAATAGAAATAAGAAGTTCAGAATGACTTTCCAGCTGAATACTTCGTCATGTTTTCATGCCTAATTAAAGGTTTTTAGATGCTAGATGATCAGCACTTTATGTAGTTTATGTGCGTAACCCTTAATGCAGTCGGCTTTCTGCTACACAAGCTCTGAACTCTTGTGTGATTTCTTATATTTGTCCGACTGAAATTTTCGACCTAGAGTGCTTAAATTTTCCTTTATTTTTTTACTTTTAGAAGTTCCTTGTCACTCTCATGGTGACTGTTTCTGTCCTCTCACTGAGTCTTCTCACAAACTCTGAGTAGATTCATAACTAAAACTGTGTGTAGTGTACATGAAAAGACAGTTTTATAAAGCTGTAAATGTCAATCATTGTTGAACTGGACGCATGTACACAAGACTCATTTCCACTCCCACAGTTAGAAAGAAATTAATGTAGAAAAACCTAAATAATCTGGTTGCATATCGATACTTCAGTCCGCTCCACCTCTAAAGAAGAAGAACGTCAAAGAAGAAGCGCTCATCAGGCTGCACTGGCGAGATTCTTCAAAAGCAGAGCGACTCAGTTTGCCAAGCATGTTATGTTTAGGGCTGCAGTTAATGATTATTTTCATTATACAGTCCCCTCCTAAAGTATTGGAACGGGAAGGCAAATCCCGTTTTTGTCAAAAGAGTATGAGACAAGAGTTCAGAATTTCAGCTTTTATTCTGGTATTCACATCTAGATGTGTGAAACAACTCAGGACAAACCACCCTTTGTATGAACCCACCCATTTTTCAGGTGAGCAAAACTATTGGAACATGTGACTGACAGATGTTTCGTGTTGCCCAGCTGTTGCCTTTTAGGTTGATTGTCCAAACATTAAATAGCTCTGCTGTGAAGAAAACCCCCAAAACATCAGTAAGTGAACCAACGACCTCCACAGTGCAGGGTGGAGGTATCACAATCCACTGTTGGAAGAAGACTCAGAGAGCAGAAACATAGAGGCCACACCACAAGATGCAAACCACTCATCAGCAGGAAGAATCATCGGAAGAACAGATTGAAATTTGCAAAGAAGAACAGAGATGAGCCGCAAAAGTTCTGGAGCAGAATCTGATGGACTGATGAGACCAAGATTAATCTCTAGCAAAGTGATGGAAAGGCCAAAGTGATGGAGAAAGAAAGGAACTGCTTATGATGTCAGGGCCTGGGCTGCATGGCTGCTTCTGGATCAGGCTCATTAATATTTATTGATGATGGAACTGATGATGGTCGCAGCAGAATGAATTCAGAAGTGGACAGAAACATTTTGTCTGCCAATTTACGGAAAAATGCATTGAAACTAACGGGGAGGAAGTTTATCATGCAGCAGGACAATGAGCCAAAGCAAACTGCCAACAAAACAAAGGACTTCATCAGGGGGGAAGAAGTGGAAGGTTTCAGACTGGCCAAGTCAATCACATGACCTTAACCCAGTAGAGCTGCATTTCACCTCCTGAAGAGGAGACTGAAGGGAGAAACACCCCGAAACAAACAAGAAGTGAAAGAAGCTGCGGTAAAAGCCTGGAATAGCATCACAAATGAAGAAGGCAACAGTTTGGTGATGCTGAGGCTGTTATTGCAAGCAAGGGTTACATCACCAAATATTAAATGTTATTAACTTTAAGATTATTTGTTCCTTTACTTATGCTCACCTAAGAATGCTGTGGTCTAATACAAATGTAATATGTCCTAAGTTGTTGAAATTCTGAACTCTTGTCTCATACTCATGTATTGATCTTAAACCCAAATGTCTTCAGTGAACAACGAAAACAAAGGGATTTGCCTTCCCGTTCCAAGACTTCAGGATGGGACTGTAGCTAATTATTTTCTGGATGGATAATTTTTTTAATTGAGTTGTTTCTCAAGAGTCAAAGTTCACGTCTTCAGATGTGTCGTTTTGTCCGACCATCAGTCCGAATAACATTCATTGACTAATTATTGCAGCTCTAATGATGTTGATCAGGGGGGGGCCCAGTATGTATAAGAGTCACTGGACTAAAATAACAGAATGTTGTGTTTCTGGTGTTTAGGTCTGCAGAGATGCACAACGCAGTGCGTGAAATCAGCATCTCATCGGAGCCTGACTCCTCCTACTTCCTGCAGGTGGACTGGAGGGGGCGGGGCTTAGATTCAGGCTTCCAGTTGCTGCTGACTGATGGACAGGATGCCTGGAGAGGAGACGGTAATAATGTCACCCAGCATGACCTCGCAACGGGTGGTCTCACATTTAACATGTATGACTTGACACATTTATGCTCACCTGTTACCTGGACAACATTACCTGTTTGACCACACACACCTTTCTCAATTCACCTGGTGTCGTTCACCTTTTCACCTGCACAGCTTCACTCAGTGGAAGATTTCTCCAACAACAGCCTGAATAAAAAGGAAAAAGTTCCCCTTCCTTTATTCTCATCACTATGGATGGGTATTCTTAGGAGTGATACTGATGCTGCTTTTTGGTCTTGATACACTTTAGTACTTTATTTTACTTAGATTTATTTATATATATACACACACACACACACACACACACACACACACACACACACACACACACAGTGGGGAGAACAAGTATTTGATACACTGCTGATTTTGCAGGTTTTCCTCCTTACAAAGCATGTAGAGGTCTGTCATTTTTATCATAGGTAAACTTCAACTTTGAGAGACGGAATCTAAAACAAAAATCCAGAAAATCACATTGTATGATTTTTAAATAATTCATTTGCATTTTATTGCATGACATAAGTGTTTGATACACCCGAAAAGCAGAACTTAATATTTGGTACAGAAAGCTTTGTTTGCAATTACAGAGATCAGACGTTTCCTGTAGTTCTTGACCAGGTTTGCACACACTGCAGCAGGGATTTTGGCCCACTCCTCCATACAGACCTTCTCCAGATCCTTCAGGTTTCGGGGCTGTCGCTGGGCAATACGGACTTTCAGCTCCCTCCAAAGATTTTCTATTGGGTTCAGGTCTGGAGACTGGCTAGGCCACTCCAGGACCTTGAGATGCTTCTTACGGAGCCACTCCTTAGTTGCCCTGGCTGTGTGTTTCGGGTCATTGTCATGCTGGAAGACCGAGCTACGACCCATCTTCAATGCTCTTACTGAGGGAAGGAGGTTGTTGGATCTCGCGATACATGGCCCCATCCATCCTCCCCTCAATACGGTGCAGTCGTCCTGATAAACTGTATAAAAAGGCCTGCACACGCCGAGTCCATGCGTGATTTTAACAGCGGCTGACCTTCGGCTGCGGTCTCAGGCGTGCTCATCACTGTTACAAGTTTATAAGCACAAGCTTGGCTTTCTGTTGGTTTCATTTTCTGGTAACATTTAACATTTTTCTGTACAATTTTTTTATTAGCTATTCACATCACTTGTCACTGGTCGATCTCTGCGTTCCATCACATTAATTAAACGCTTTTCTGGCGCAGCAGCGATCAGCTGACTTTACTCATGGAGCCTCCAGCTGCAGCTGCTTCAGGTGTAGTCGGTTTGATCGGCTGGATGTGCAGCCTCTCTTTACTCTTTGTGAGTCTTTAGTGTAGTTTACTGACTTGTTTAAACAGACTCCTTTTATAATTCTGACTGTTGCTTTTGGAGGTTTGCGACTCACCACTAAAGAAAAAGCACCCGCGCAAATCTCAAAAAAAGTTATTTAAATTCGTTTCCCACAACTTATCAAGTGAAGTACTCTGTTGGTATCACTTCAAGGGTACTGGTTTTGGTACTGGTATCGTAAAATTTTATACGATACCCAACCCTAAAGAAAAGTACATCAAAATTGTACTAATTGTAAAGCCCCTATTTGTTAAATTCTTATTTAAACTAATTTTTCTGTTTTGCTGCAGCAGCACGTTGAGTTGCCAGAAGAAGAATTCATCCACTTCTTGCGCTTTTTTTTTCTCTGTGAAATCACTTTGTAGTGAGCGAGGCAGCAGTGTGCAGCGAGGCGGAGGAGCTGGAGATGGAGACGGAGAGGTACATCCAGGACCTCCAGCAGGCGCTGACCGAGACAGAAAACTCCAACACGTACAGCTTCACCCTGACGCCGTCTCCACCCGACCACAGCGCCGCTGTCACACTGGCGTACGAGAAGGTTCAGAAGGACATCTCTGTGAGTTTAACTTTAGTCGTTCGTCTTCTTAGTGCCTCGGTATGATGCAGAGATGCTGCAGCTCTGAGCACATCTAACCGTGGCTATGTGGTCAGACATGTTTCAGAAAGTTGTCAGTGCCTCATTTAAATGTTTTAGCAAATAGAAAGCACTTTTAAAACACTTATATTTTATTGTTGTTTTAAATCTGAGGAGGCTGTACAAGTTATCGAGAGTCAGGATCACTGTTTGTGGCATAAATGTGTACTGTAAAATTTAAAGCCGAGTCCCAATTAGACGCCCTAATGGTCCCTGTTACTGGCCAGGTGATTTGACAAATGAACGCAGGTCTCAATTAGAGGCCTGGTCTGGTTTTTACAGAAGTTTTTGAATATATAAATAGGGATTCACCAAAATGAAAATTCTTGGCCGAAGCCATTTCCGTTTATTTTGCGTTTTGTTTTACCATTAGATAAATTAAATAAATATAATCATAATGTGCTTTGTACTCAGTGTTTCCCACAGGATTTGGAGAGACTATAGTGGGGTGGGGGGTCCGGGGTCTGAGAGGGTCCGGTAAAGTAAATTACATGTGTCCATTTACTGTTAATGAAATAAAATAAATAAAGGCTTGAATACGTGTGCACTCCAAATGTAGGCGCGGCTAGCTTAATCAGCTTCTCACAAACGAGTGACAGAAATACTCAAAGCGGGTCAGACCGTTTGTTGCCTTTTCTAAGAAGTCCGCCACAGATGGAACAGTGTGTGCAAACTGCCATTTTTGCGTCTTTCTCGACACTTTAAAATGCTTCCACACTGCCGAAATGTCAATATAATTGTTCAGTAAAGTTTATTCTGTCTCAGATTGCTCATTCAAATATGAATAAATACATGTTTGTGAATATTGACATTTTAACGCATAGTTAGATTCTCCACAGTTCATTCATTTAGTTAATTTTTACAGAAACAATGTGCACCAAGGTATAATTCATTCAGATTTACCAGTTTGGTAAAGGAATTAAATGCCTGTCCCACATAAAGGCAGGGGGAGTTCAGGGATTTATTCAAATAATAGCCCATGCTATTGAAGTTTTAGGGTACACAAGGTTCTAGGAGCTGGCCTGGGCCGGCAGATAGTTTTGAAACCGTGGTCTCTGTATTTAGCCTCACATGAATCAGACTTTTCTGCCTCTCAGCTCTTTTTCTGTTGAATGAGTCGGCTGAGATGTTTTTTTTCTTTGTTACCAGATTGATGCAGAGTGTCAGGAGGGCTGTGTAGGGGTGTGTGTGTTTGGCTCATATGTGTTTAGATGTGTGTATTTGGCTCATTTGTGTGTGTGTGTAGGAGTGAGTGCGTTTATTTAAATTTCCCTCTCTGCCGGCAGACGAGTCAGAAGGTTAATTTCAAACAGTGGTCGTGTGCTTTGACTTTGCATCTGTGTTAGTAAAATGGAAGTTGATTGTTGACATTGAAGCGCTCTTCAGGGTCGTTGATGCTTCACGTGTCGTCAGCGCTGCATGTGCTGTTGATAACGGTGTCACCTCTGCCTCCTTAGTCTACCTCCCATGTTTAAAAGCTCCAGAGAAAAGTGCACCGAGCTTGTTTTGATTTCCTGACGGAACCGAGGAAGTGATGAACAGTGTGAAATATGAGTCAACCATTATTTTAGAAACTTGAGTCGTGGCTTCTCGTGATTGTTTCAGTGTTAACCTCACCATAGAAATCTAATACAATAACAAGTAGAAATAGCCCTGTGTGAGGATGGATGCCTTCTGTTATCTGCTTTAGATCTGTGGACGGCCTTTGTAAATGGCTCTCACAATAGATTGTTCTATTTGTTCTGATGTGATTCTCATGTGGTTCAAATCACCGGCAGGTCACAAATCAATTTAACCTCCCCAGCTAACGCTGGCAGCTGCAGGAAACTGTTCACAGATCAGCGCTTTTGGTCTTCATTGATTCATCATGTAATAAATATGCCTATTATACCACATCATTGGCTTTAAATGTTGTCCTCCCAGCTCCAGATGTATTGTCACAATTTAGTTGAGCTTCTCGTCTTAAATATATATAGTGGAAAAGTTAATTTTCTTCTTTAATTTAATTAAAAAAGTTTCATATATTCTAGTATGTTACACATACAGTGAAATATCAGCTAATTAACTCAAAAAACCTGCAAAGGTTTCCTGAGCCTTTGATCTCTGAGTCTCTGTAAACAATGACATGATGACATGTTATCACCTTGTTAAAGTTGTTAAGGCCAGACTCACTCTGATCTCTCCTACTGGAGTTAAGCTTGTGTCACCTGATGAATGTGAGTCCAGTATTTTCTCTCTGTTAGCTCTGTGTTTGGTCTCCACCAGCTCCTGAGGGAAATATCTGGCTGTGTAGCTGCTAAATGCTCCACTTTGTTCACCAGTTGCTCTCTAACTGTGTTTGTCTGCTGTTTGATGCTGAGCAGGTCGTGTACAGTGGGTTTATCAGCTGTCTGCTGCTTATGGAAACGAGGTTTATGGACCTACAGACGACCATCACCTAAATCTGTTTTGGTTTTATGTCCCACACACATGTACTGGTTCAGTCTCAGCGCTCTTATCAGCGATGTGTGGAGGTGAGAAAGTAGACAGGTTTGAACTTCTTTCTCAGCTCTCTTTTTTTAATTCCTCACTCTACTACTCTTGTCATTTTGTCTAAATAAAGCAGTAGGGCTGACCCAGAATAGTCGAAGATTCGATGCCTCGAAGGGCGGAGCCTGATTCGAGACATTTAATGCTGTAAATAATAAATGAGAAAAGGGGAAAAAAAGCTTTTAATAAATGTTTTTGCATGAATAAATCCAGAATTGCAAACCAGACCCAGACCCACGCACACACACGCATCAGTGCGTGTGTGTGCGTGTGAGATTGTGTGTGTGTGTGTGTAGTGGCAGAAGAGGAGCTTGCTGTAGAGACGGAGCCTTAACTTCACCGTTGTTGTGCAGAGTTGTCCGCACCTCGCGGGATGTTGGGATCATTTATCACCATTGATGAACCACACAAAGAATATTACATCATTTTTAAATAGTACTTGAAATAGACCCGCGAGGAACCACGACGTGCATGCAGCTGTCGGCCGCACGTCATGCACACAAAACTCTGCACAAGACTGGTGAATGGCAGGCGAGCAGAGAGAAAAGGGTCAACAATAAAACTCAGTTTAGCTGGAAATGTACAGTGAAAGTTACAGTGACTAATGAATAGAGTTACTGTGTGTAAGTAAATAAATAAATATATTATTAATATTATTATTATTATAAGACAAACATGCCTGATACTTTCACAGTCAGCCCCAGGCCTTCATACTTGCAGCTATTAATGGTTTAGCAGTGTCTGTTTTCAAGGAGAGACTCAGTGACTCAGCTCTGTCACAGCAGGTTTGTCACCTTCGAGTGTGGCTGTTCAGAACAGCTTTACTATATGGAGAAACGTCCTGGGACACGTACACATTACTTTTATGTTGGAGTTGGTTCCCCTAACAGCTTCCACTCTTCTGGGAAGGTTTTCTACAAGATTTTGGAGTTTGTCTGTGGGAATTTTTTATTCAGACGAGCATTTGTGAGGTCAGATGCTGATGTTGGACGAGAGGGCCTGGCTTGCAATCTCCGTTCTAGTTCATCCCTCAGGGCTCTGTGCAGTACTTCCACAACAAACTAAGATTTTCCTTAACAAAGACCACAATATGAGAAAACAGCCCAGAGCTAAAGTATTAGGACAGGGGTGTCCCAGGACATTTGTCCAGTGTATGAAGTTTGGCTTTGCTTGTTTTGTACTTCCTGTATCAGTTAACTTGTGGTATTTAATTTGAATTATTGTTTCTGATAATTAATGTCTGTTAAAAGTATTTAAGAAGGAAGGATAGATAAATGCGGCATGTTTTTCTAAAAGTTTTTCCCAGTTTGCCAATGTATCAAAGCGACAGCAAATTAATTGGCAGCTATTTTGATATTGACTATAATGTGAACGGGCAAAAATTCACTGGTTCCACCTTCTAGGTTTTAGGTCTGTAGCTACAGATTATTCCATTGATTAATGGAGTAATCGATAATAAGAAATACTTAGGTCTGAGGAAATACTTCATCTTAACTAGCAGTCATTATTTAGTTAAACTTTACCGTTACGTTGTTTCGGGTCCACTCCTTAGACTCGTGGACTCACTGCTTTCTCTTCATATACTGAAGCGTTGCTGTTTTTGGTAGGCTAGTCACAATGTTGTTTTCTTTTAGTTTGAAACGATTCCATTAGCGCTGACCCCGACTAAGGATTTACATAGTCCAATCAGAATCATCAAATCCTGCCTACAGTCAACTAATAGTTGAATCATGTGTGTTTTTGTGCACGCCGATTGCAAGCCCCCCTTCTTTAAAGGTACTTTTGGATTTATTCACCCCCTTTTATTAAAAGATTTTTTTCTTTTTACATGTGCACTGATGCCCCCTACCTTGAGGGTTAGGGTTGCAATTCTGGATTTATTCATGCAAAAACATTTAATAAAAGCTTTTTTTTCTTTTCTCATTTATTACTTACAGCATTAAACGTTGAAATGTATATTGTAACAGGCTGTATATTAACTTATTGGGAGAAAACTGGTAGTTCTATGTAAAATCAGATGTTTAGCACCCCCATATCGCCAAAATGGCGTGATCCTCATTTCGCTGCAAATCTTCAACTGTGAGATTGACAGTCGAGTCAGGCTCCGCCCATCGAAGCATCGAATCTTCAACTATTCGGGGTCTGCCCTAGATTCCAGACTTTGGACACTTCTTCTCTGGGCTGTCTCTTCTTCGTCCCTCGCTTTTTTCATCTTGACTTACCCACAGTGTAAGCGTGTTGTGCGACAGTTATAACTGGCCATGCGAAACAGTGCGCTGTATATAGATTTATGAACTAAACGGTGCTTTTAATGTGAGGCACCTCGCAGTAAGAGACACCAGTTTATTAGCCCTATTCCATTGACTCTTTTTTTTTATTTTTTTTTATCCAAT